AACTTCTCCATCTGCTCTGTACTGTTCTAGGGAGCCAGGCCATTGAATCCTGGCCTCATGTCTCAAACCATAGTTGGATGGTTCTGGCCAAGATGATTCCTTCCTTTGCTGACTGCACTGGGGAGGCTCTTAGAAGATCTCTGATCTAATACCATGTTTTAAGGAGGAAGATAAACACTGAGGTGGGATATATGCTCTGGGTGGCACAGTGGGATAGAACATGACTTGGCTCTAAGAATAAGCCAGAGAAACAATTGGGAAGCTCTAAAGAGGCCAATGAATCCAAAAAGAGAAGGGAAAACTAGGAGAAGAGTTTGGCAAAGTGTTTTCTTACTTACCTTCTCTTCTCTCTGAGAAGATATGCTAGAGTGGCAGAAAGAGCTCTGACATCAGCCCAGCTACACTTTAGTTATGTGTCTGGGGCCTCCACTCCATTATTTGGTTAATGTCAACACACATGATCAACTAACAGGCAAGTTAGCACAGTTATTCACTGTTGTACATGCCTGGAACACATGCCTACTTCAGTGGCCCATGGATGCTTCCTCCCTAGGCTTTCCAATTGCTCTGAGGAGACTTATGTTTTCTATGACTATATTAAAAGCAATCACTTTGCACTGTTTCAGGTTTTTTTTTTTCCTTACTGAAGCTCAGAGATGACTAAGAGATCAAGAGAGATGTGTACATGAAGGTATGGGCCACCTAGGATTGTGGAGTCCTCATAAAATATGTCAAGTGATTTATTCTTTAGTAACTTTGGTGCTCCCCATGCTTTTCCTCCTTATGGAATCCATAGAGTCTTCATGTCTAAGGGGGGAGAAGTTTGTCTTCAACTCAACAATCATTTTTCAGGAACTACTGTGTGTCTAATATTTTTAAGGTCTCTGAGGAGAATGCAGTCATGGTAGACAGCTTTCTGTCCTCAATGAGCCTCTAGTTTATGAATAAGACATACACACTCTGAAGGAACAGAAGCATCAAGTGATCTGTGGTCACTTCCCAGAGGTGCAAAAGGCACACATTTGGGCACAGGATAGGGTCACATTGATTCTAAGTGACAGGTTCTTGGAAACAGAAATAATCTGTATGAACTCAATTGTCAGAGGTGGGTCAAAGATATTCCAGGAAGAGGGAACAGATGTGCAGATGGACATGGGAGAATCATGGGAGAATACAAGGTATGTGCAGGGAGAATGTTTCCCGCCGCCCCCCCCCCGCCCCCCCAGCTTGTCTTCTGTCTTCAATGGTTCTTAGATTTCTGAGTTTACTCTTTGCATTTACTCTTGACCTTCTATATAGTTAGTTAATTCTCCACTGAGCAGAAGACATTGTTTTAAGATAATTGAGTTAGGGCAGTCCATTGCTCAAAAGTCCTCCAGTGTGCTCTGATCTGGCCCCTACATGCTTGGCTGACTTCATCTCTTAGACCTCTCTGCTTCCCTCATTCTCTTCTAGTTCTTCTGCCTTGATGCTACCTTAGGTTCTGGGTTGGAAATCTTTATTGAGATGTTTTTATGACGAGCTTCTTCATTTGACTCATATCTCTGCTCAAAGAGTTCCTCCTCAGAGGGGTCCTTCATCCACCATCATGCTCTATACCTTGATTTAACCCTTATAAATTTGAGCATATGCTAATTAATGTGTTTTAGTTAGTCTTCCTCCCTAACTTTATCTCTCCAGTTCACTGCTATACCTTTGGCATCTCAAATAGTAGAGCTTTTCCAGGCTTATTTGTAGAAAGAATTTTGAGTGATCAGTTTTACAAATGGAGAAGCCAAGTTTCATAGAGGGGAGGGCAAGTCAGTAGCAGAAGCAAGAGTTGGGGACAAGTTTTATAACAGGCCCTGTCAAAGGTCCTCTGCATCCAGTCTTCTTCCCCATATTACATAAAAACTAGATTCTTTTCCAATACAAAGACCTCAATTCAAGAAAAACAACAGCATGTAACATCAAAGTACACTCTAATTAATCTTTTTATTTCCAAAAATTTAAGTTGTGGATTAAATGATCAGGACTGGAACAGACCACAAAATGACCTCCTGAGGCTTTATTATTGCAAATGAGGAATGTAAGGCCCAGAGAAGATGTCACACAGCTAGTCGTGGTGGAACCAAACTCGAACCCAGATCTCTGTATAGGTGCTTTCTTCTTTTCTTCATTGCTTAACATTGAAATCTATGTCTGCTCATAGATTTAATTGTTTATCACTGAGTTTCTTCTCCTTATATTGCAGATAGTCACCCCCCAGATGTACATTCCACAAGGGAGATGAGCAGTCATATCCTGGCTAGAGGATCTGTGTATGAAAGAATTCTGGGTGCTTCCTAGATGTGCTTATGTCCAGACTGCAGACTACTCAGCTAGGAGTCTCTGTCTCTGAGTCAGGGGAGGGCGAAGCATCCTATAGTGCAGTAACATTCTCTTTTGACCATGTTACTTCCTTTCTGTTCAGTCTTGTGCAAGGCACTCTGCTCTCAGGACCTCAGGTTGCCCTTGAGAGATGAGGATTGAATACACTAAAGTACTGGATGAGAAAGTGCTTTTTGAACACCAAGGACTGCATAAGGGTATGGGGAGGCAATTCATGGTGACCATGATCTGGGAAATAGAGTTCTCAGTATAGCCACAAACAATTTTCTTCTCCCAACCTTTGAGATCTGGGAAAGGGGCCCTGGGGGCTAAATGCAGAGGGCTCAGGTTGAAGAAATCTGAAGTTCTTTAAAGCTAAGCCAACCTATATGCCAAGATTTAGTAGAAAAGGAGAAAAACTTTCAGTTGTTTGAGAAAGAATTTTGTTCCCTTTTGTTCTGACTCCTCTTTAAAGATGATGTCAGCTTCATAATCCAAGAATTATTTTAAAAAATTCAAAAGTTCTATCATCTCTGATTTCAGCACTTCAACAAGAGACTGAGTAAAGCAACTCCCAATAGGGAGTAGAGAGAAGACAAAGGAGGATTGAGTGAGGAAGTGTGAGAGTGATGATTCTGAGAAGGAAAAGAAATCAGAGAGGGGAGAAAATATATAGAGAAGAAGAGGGATGTGGAAGGAGAAAAACAGGAGTTTGGAGAGGGAGGGAGAAGATATTTCAGTGCATAGAGCAAGATGGTGGGCTGCTATTTGTTCTTTGGTTGCCTCCTGTCTAAAGAAAACTCTCCTCTTGTAATTTGTGAGGCTTCCAAAAGCCAAGACTTCAGTAGAGGAGACAAGAGATCAGAGGGAGGTGTCTCAGGATAGTTGGACTGATATAATTAGATTCTGAGTCCCCAGTTGGGGTCCTGGGAGAGCTCCCGGATGAATAGAGAACACAGCATGTATTTCCTAAGGTTGAGTTCTGTGGGTCTAGATTCCTTGCTCTCCCAGAGCATTTCAACATGTAAGTAACTTTTTAATGCCTGCCTTTGTGCTTGGCCTTGCCTGGAATTTTTAAGCTCTAGAAACTTTGACATTCCTTACCATGTATTCTTTCTTTTCCTTGGCTTACAGACATAAAAGGAAATGATTACAAATATCCAAGCCAATCAGGACATTTCACAGCCCCTCCCACCTTTGAATACTGTAGTTTAGGTCTGAATACTGAGAATATTTTAATTTATGATGCATTACTGATAACAGGATTGGACAAGTTCTCTGCCTCACTCAATTTCTGGAGATGTAGCATTATTATTTTATTATTTATTTTAGCTAATATTGAGTTTTGAAGCTCAGAAAATACTATACCTTGAAGAGCCAACAGGGATCATCTGGTCTATGCCAGGAAATTAGGTAACTTTTCTTTGATAAGGATTTTGTTTTGGAAAAAAAGCTGCCAGAACTCTAACCTGAACAGCAAACAATCAACCTGACTACAATTGAATTTCTAGGATAGCTTTTCTAAACTTCCTTTGTGATTGAAGGTGGAGTAGACTGGATTGACAGCCTGTTGATCCTTTCCCAACATACAAACCCAAAATACTAGTCACACATGTCTAGGAGGTCCTGGAATTTTATATGTCTATCCCAGAGTTCCTGATCTAGAACTGCTCTTATTGGTCAAGAATGTTAGAAAACTCCAGAGTTGCAAGGAAAGAACCCTGGCCCTAGAATGTAGAGGACTTGTCTTTGCTCCAACTGTGCAGTATGGGATCCAGAGCAACTTACTGCCCATCTCTAAGCCTTAGAAATTCAAATTCTGAATTTATTAGATAATTTCAGAGGTTGCTTTCTAGCTCCAAGTTCCTAGGAACCAAAATGAAGTCAATCTCTTCCCTTTCCTTTGTATCAGTCTCTCTCTGCCTCTCTCTCCATGTGTATATCTCTCTCTCTCTCTCTCTCTCTCTCTCTCTCTCTCTCTCTCTTTCACAATAGATAGGCAGGTAGACTAGAAGTCTCTCAGTGGCTAAGAAAGAAGGAGGGAGGGTGAGCCAAGGATGCCTTCATTATAGAAAAAAGTGAAATTCTTTCAGAATCCATCAATCTTCTTCTACAAGATTTTTTACATAAGAAATGGAGGTAGAGAATGTTTCAGTCCTGCCACTGTCCATATTTTACTCTCTAATCTGTTCTTAGAGGAATGATTCTGAATCTTACCCATACACATGTAGTTTTACATTTTGGGGCCTCTTAAAATGGATGATAAGTGGAGTAATCTGTGTACATTTATGTGTGCACATCTGTGATCGTGTATTTGCCCCTCAAGGGCTGAGTTTGAGGCTTTCTTTTGTGTGTAGTTGAATACGCACACGTGCACACGTGCAAAAGAAATTATAGAATGTGTATGTTGGTAGCACTTAATGAAAATAAAAGATTGTTGGCATGTTGAATTGTGTGTGCCTGTGAGTGTGCAGGGTTGTTTTTTTTTTTTTTAATTTTTTTTTTTAAAAAAGTAAGCCACTTTAGATTGTGTCGCCTCCCCTCACTTTTATGATTGATTTCACGAGGCTAATGGTGCGTAAAAGCGCTGGTGAGATCTGGGGGCGCCTCCTAGCCTGACGTCAGAGGAAGAGTTTAAAAAGGTGGGGAGACGGCAGGGAGCACACAAGCCGCTGCGGAAGGCGCGAGGTTCAGAGCCTTTGCTGCAGCCTGCGGATCCGCAGTTTGAACAACTGCTCTCCAGCTCTGCTTCCCGGCACCACAGCCGAGATGCTGTCCTGCCGCCTCCAGTGCGCGCTGGCCGCGCTCTCCATCGTCCTGGCCCTGGGCGGTGTCACCGGCGCACCCTCGGATCCCAGGCTCCGTCAGTTTCTGCAGAAGTCCCTGGCTGCTGCCGCAGGAAAGCAGGTAAGGAAACTCCCCCGACCTCTTCTTTCCCTCCTCCCGGATTCCCGGACCTTACTAAGTCCTGCTCCTGAGCCCTGGGTTTAAACTTAACAGGTGTTTGGTTCTCCTTAAGAGTTCGGGTGCTTTTCAGAATCCCTCCGCAACCAAAGCTCTCAGGAAAACTTTCAGAGTCTAGAATTCTCTCGTACCTTTTCTTCCTTCTTCTGATCAGGCAGTTGGTCACAGTTCAGGTGAGTTCTTTACTGGCATTCAAGAAATTTCGGAAACCTGGGTATTTGAGCACAAAGGAATGCCAGCATCTATTCCCAGTGCTGACCCAGGTGCTGAAACGCAGACTTTCATACATCGGGCATGCAGTAAGGGACACTGCAGACCTAGCAAACCTGAGACTGTGAAAGGTCCCATTTTCCCAGTTAACTTTGTAAAAACGGCAGTAACAATTCCAGTTTGTTGTTCACGTTATGGAAATTGAATTGAACAAAAGGTTGGCACAATAATTTTGTAAGGTGGCTTTTATCAATTTACAATTTCTCATTGTGTTTTTAAGCCCACAGAGGCAGAACACTTGCAGAAACCTTTTTGTGTAACTTGGTGATTATAGGAATTACTCTTATTTTTTCCTTAATTGATTTTAGGTGTCATAAAAGTGCACAACTGTGAAAACTAGTTTTTGAATGTGACTAAATTTGTTTTCCAAACTAAAATTTCCCATTTTTTTTCTTTTTTCATTGTTCTCTTCCCCTTCTCCTTTTGCCCCATTCAGGAACTGGCCAAGTACTTCTTGGCAGAGCTGCTGTCTGAGCCCAACCAGACGGAGAACGATGCCCTGGAACCCGAAGATTTGTCCCAGGCTGCTGAGCAGGATGAGATGAGGCTGGAGCTGCAGAGATCTGCTAATTCAAACCCGGCCATGGCACCCCGAGAACGCAAGGCTGGCTGCAAGAATTTCTTCTGGAAGACTTTCACATCCTGTTAGCTTTATTAATTATTATTGTCTATATCAGACCCCTGATCCCTCTTCTCCAAACCCCATCTCTTTTCCCCATCCCAAATTCACAGCAAGACCCTTGCATTAGAAATTGAAGACTGTAAATATCAAATAAAATTATGGTGAAATTATGGAAAACGAGAATTTGATTTCTTATTGAGCAAATCGTTTTGTGCAATAATACACGATGAACATGGTTTCAGCAGAGTTATTTTAGATAATACATGCCAGGTCTCACTAATATCTATTAAAAACTCTCTGTGGCAACAAAGGTTGTTTTAAATGATACCTTTATAATTTGGGTCATTTCAAACTGAAATAATTTCAAACAACTAAATTAAACTTCAATCTAACAATAAATGTCAGAAGGGACTTCCATAAATTTCAGTTACGTATTCAATACACTTAAAAAAACATTGTATTATCAAAATGAAGATTAGTATTTATGGGTTTGCAAACTGAAATATCTGACTATCCACCAGGTGCATATGTAAAATATGTCACTTTAAAATGGAAGAGTAAAATCATTTAGGAACTGAGGAAAGAAGCTGGTTGAAATAGTTAAAGAAAATTTCTAGCTTTAAAATTTGTTTCTAGTTGGTGAACATTTTCTATAAAAGAAAGTCCTCTCTAACTGAAAAAAAAGAGAGGCTAAATAACAATCAAGGCATGAAAAGTAAGCTCCTACAATTTTCTCTTAGGGGAAAATTTTATTTTTAATTATAAGAATTCAGCATGGGAATATTATAGGTTTCAAGAAACCAGTGTGTTGGGTCACCTCACAGAATGTTATATTAAAGTTATTGGGGCTCAAAGTCATCACAGAATAACCAAAGGAGATACCCTGGGTCTTTAAAAAATTTTATCAAAATGGGAGTCAAATAAAAATGCAAAAATAAATAACTCAATAAATCGTAGCTGTTAGTATTATAACAACATGCTAAATGTTGTTACATACAGAGATAAAAAATGTTGATAACTTAACTCCTAAATCCCTGAAAGAGGTATTCTTTGGGGAATGCATGTTTAAGTTACCAGCCATATGTTTTGCATGAATGTTGGAATAATAAGGCAAATATATCCACAATATGAACTTACTGATGGTAGCTAATAAAGAAGAACTTCATATTTTTTGAAAATATTTGTGTTAGACAATGCACATTGTCAATATTAATGTGGCTTTGTGGATATTTCTTCCTGAACAGCAGATCAAATGAGAGCAAGAAATCTAAGCCACTTTCCTAATTTCTGTGAAAACAGAATACCCTTTGATGCTCGAGTTTTTTATTTTATTTTATTTTTTTAATTTACAAGACTTTTAGGGGAACTAATGTACGCCTACTTAAAGGATTTGTCTGTACTAAATGCCTTATATTCAGATGTTAACCAACCAACTCATGAGAGTAACAGACTCACATAATTATGATTAAAGCACAGAAAACAATGCAACTTATTTTCTGAGCAGTATGTAAACTGTATAAATGCCAAGAAATTTTAATTTTTTATTACCATCTTTAGTTGTCAATTCCCAATTATAGTATGAAAATGGGAAAGAATTATGTAGCCACAAGCCCATGTATATACTTTTTTATTATTTAAAGCTTAAATAAAACATTTGAACAGGGTTAATTATCTTTCAGCCTTAGTTTCCCAATTCCAGACATGGAATTGTGTAAGGTGGGATACTCATGTCCCTTCTAGATGGAACTGACCTTTTATGCTTTAACACTCAAAAGGGTCTTTAAAAAGAGCTCATTTGAGGCCATTTTAAATAATATAAAAAGCATAATTTTGTTCTAATTTTTTTGTTTTTAATATATAGAGGATCTTACTTTTTACTTTCCATTTAGTTCATTTGCATTCCTTATAAGTCAATTCACTGAAAGGATCCAGCATTCTAGCCTGCTTATTATCTACCCACATTGAAACTAGAAGATATTATCCTTCTTTCCTGCCACATGCTTCGGCAATCCTGAACAACCTGCTGTTTTTTTTTTTTTTTTTTTTTTTTTTTTTTTTTTTTTTTTTTTTTTTTTTAATGGACAAGCTTGGGCAAGGTATTCTTCAGCATAAAGCAAGAATTTTATGGAGCAAGAAGCATAGGGAATGGGTTTCGAAGGCCAAGTTAGGTTTGGTCTGTATGAACAGGAAAAAATAGCAAAGTCTCTGGACTTAGTTTCCCCATCTGAAAAAGGCATATAGGAGAACCAACCCCTCAGAATTACGGGGATTCTCTAATACTATGTACTTAGAAGTTCTTTGTGCATGGTAAGCTGCTGGTCATTTTTTTTCTCACGTGTGGTGTGCTTTCTTGCCTCTTTCTTTGCCTTTGCTATTTTTTCCTGTTTTTACAGACCAAACGTACCTCGGCTTTCCCAACCCATTTCATATGCTTCTTGCTTCATAAAATTCTTGCTTTATGCTAAAATATCTGCCTTTTCCATTTAATGTGTGTCTCTTCCATCATGCTTACTTATCACTCTCTACTGTTCATTATAGTAGTATGAATGTATATAAGAGAGTGTGTGCACATGCATAAACTTCCTTTGGGTAGATGTATGTCCACACAGTATCTTATACAGAATGGTATGCATAGTAACTTGTCAGTGTTCATTGAAAGAATCTATGAACCTACAGCATCAAGTGAAAAAAATCTCTATTTACTAGATGGCTTTCTTCCTCAGTGCTTTATCCAGCATAGGAAAATGACATTAATATCCACTATATGTAACACTAGTGGGACATCAGAAAGAGAGAACCCATGGTTATGCTTTTTAGGGAGGAGGTCCTAGGGATTAAACTCAGGGGCACTTGACCACTGAGTCACAAATGCAGCATTATTTTGTATTTTATTTAGAGATAGGGTCTTATTGATTTGCTTATTCTCTCACTTTTGCTGAGACTGGCTTTGAACTTGAGATCCTCCTGTCTCAGCCTCCTGAGCTGCTGGTATTACAGGCATGCATCCCTGTGCTGGGCATAGTTATGCTTTTAATGACCAATAACTGAAGTACATAGTTATGCTTTTAATGACCAATAACTGAAGTACATAGTTATGCTTTTAATGACCACTGAAGTACATCCACTAACCATGTGGTTAGTGGATGTACACATTTTGGAAACTTCAGCCAGTCCAATTTTTAAAAACCATCTCCCTTTGGGCTGGGGATGTGGCTCAAGCGGTAGCACGCTCGCCTGGCATGCCTGCGGCCGGGGTTCGATCCTCAACACCACATACAAACAAAGATGTTGTGTCCGCCGAAAACTAAAAAATAAATATTAAAATTTCTCTCTCTCTCTCTCTTTAAAATAAAAAAAAGAAGCCATCTCCCAAAGTCTTCAGCAGGACCTGCCTCACTGTCCACCAATCATAAGCTTACAGTTCCAGAGAATAAAATTCACGAGTCCCTATCTCACACTGGTTTATCTTAAGATCAGATCTGTTTTGGATACTAATACAGGATCAATTTTCTTGGCGTTGACTCAAACTATTCTTAGTATGCAGACAATTCTGTTTTCTGGTATCACAAAATATACCTTTCATTCTGAATATCCAACATAGAAGGGGATTCAGAAATCACCTTGGCCTCACTACTAATTTGAACAAAACATGATGTTATTTGCCCAAGATAACAGTAAGGGTTGAGGCAGACTTTTGACAAAGTCTAGGTTCCCCCCTCTTCCATCTCAGGATGATTTTTATTATTCTATTATACAGCCTCTCAAGAAAAATCTGTCCTTTTAGAGATTTGGTGTATTTTATTAATCTCATGAGAAAACTAATTTTGTTCCTGGAGCTTCCTTACCTCCTCCTGGACAACTGGTCGTTTTCTGAACGGGAACAAGGGAATTAGTAATAATTTCCTGTTGTGATTGAGAAACATTAATAAAAAACGATAAAGACATTGACTGGAAGAAAATAAACTCAGGGGAGACCTAAGATATGAAGAATGATTTTTGTCCTGGAATGGAGGCAAAGGGGCTACCTCAGGAAGCAGATGGAAATTTACAGGAAGGAGACAGCATGCCCGGAGAGGTGATCTTCAAAGAAGTCCTGATCCACATTGCAAACACCTCCATGACCCTCTCTCTAGCTCTTTAGTAAGTGAGAGTGAATGCTTCAAATCCAGGTGTTTGGATTTTCATTACTTAAAAAGTGCCTGTGTCAAAGGCTTGCTGCAAGCCCAGGGACAATATTTATATCAAAAGTTTCCTGTTTTCAGGAAACTGAGTCTAGTAGGTGAGACACATTCTTTGCAAATAATCAAATGTTATCTTGGAGGTTTGTACAGAGTGCTAGGAAGGGAAAGAGATGTCAGCAATTCCTTCTCTTTCTTTTCTCTATACTATTCTCACTAGTTTTAAATGATTTAGAATATGATTGTATTCTGGATGGGATACATAAGTTATAGGCATAGTGATGTAGCACATACTTTCATAATATAATTTATTTACCTCGAGTTCTTTTTCTTTTGTAGTTGTAGAAGCTGAGAATCAGAGAGATTAAGTAGTTTTCCCAAGATGTCCCCAGCTGGTTAGAGGTAGAGTTGGATCCAGGCCATCTGATTTCTAATCCAATGTTCTTGTCCCTGTCTCCTAGGGAAAATGGGGGAGTTAAAAGAAGATTGTAACTTGCTAGGCAAATTAAGATCAGCTCCAGATCTTCTTCACTTAGCTCATATTACAAATGGGTATTACTACTCTATTATTGTTGGAAGAGGAAGGGATTTAAGCTCTGGGATCGGGATTTGGTTTTGTGACTTTATTAGGGCACTATTTCCAAGGAAATGTTTGTAATTTTTTTTTCCACATGTTCAACCTCAAAGTCCTAGCTTTGCTAAGTGAATAAATAAAAATAAAAATAATTAAAATAAAATTAATAAATTAGTGACCTCAGGTTTTAAAGCACTCCGTTTCCCACTCCATCTCTCCTACACATGTTTTGGCACAACTCAGGCTTGAAGCAGTTACAAACCTATTGGTCCCAATCCTAAGTACAAGTCCATGACATCTGTCCCACTCTAACTGACTGAGTAGTAGTCATGTTCTATAGTTTGTCCCCCCAAAGGGAGACGAAATCTTGGTCCCCAATGTAGCAGTATTGAGAGGTAGTAGACCTTTAAGAAGTGGGATCTAGT